CTAAAATTAGGTAATGTGTTTCTTTACAAAATAAAGACTTCTCATTATAGAGATAAAAGCGTATGCTGTATTTCACTTTATAGTTTTACCAAAAAGTTAGATTTTAATGACCAGTAAAACCCAGGCCGTGGCACATGATACATGTGTGCAGTCAGCATTGTGTCTTCACCAAATTTAACTCTATTCAGACCACTTATGTGGTGGTCTTGATCAAAAGCCTGTTCCTTTTATTGTGTTCTGTTGTCTAAATGGCTGCATTAGTTTACTCTTGTCTAAATTACCCACATAGCTGGTTGGTACTGTGTTGGAGATTTAGGGAAGAGTTAACAGAAAAACCCTGCCAATGCATGTGAAAATGCTGCAGCAGCAGTCCTGGCCCCCATGTTAGCCTGAGAGAGACTAAAGTAAAATAGTGAATAAATAATTCCACGTTAAATCCTAGAGATTAACTCAAGAAGTTTGGCTCCCATGTTTTCCAGTGGTCAGCATTTCTTTCTTCCCGTTAGATTTGAATATGGATAGAATCATTTACATCGTTTTTTTAATTAGGCCTAAAAATATATGGGAAGTCTCAGGGGAGAAAAGATTCAAAGGTCTTGAACAGAAATTGGCAGGGTTGAGGAGGAAGATAACAACTGTTAGCTTTACTGACATTTAAATTCGGTTTGAGGGGCCGCCCCGTGGCTTAGGGGTTAAGTGCGTGCGCTCCACTACCGGCGGCCGGGGTTCGGATCACGGGCGCGCACTGATGCACCACTTGTCTGGCCATGCTGAGGCCGCGTCCCACATACAGCAACTAGAAGGATGTACAACTATGACATACAACTATCTACTGGGGCTTTGGGGAGAAAAAGGGAAAAAAAAAGGAGGAGGATTGGCAATAGATGTTAGCTCAGGGCCGGTCTTCCTCAGCAAAAAGAGGAGGACTGGCATGGATGTTAGCTCAGGGCTGATCTTCCTCACCAAAATAAATAAATAAATAAAATAAAATAAATTCGGTTCGAGAGCCAGCCCCATGGCATAACGGTTAAGTGCGCGTGTGTGCGCGCGCCGCTGCTGGCGGCCCAGGTTCAGATCCCGGGCACGCACCGATGCACCATTTGTTGGGCCATGCTGTGGCGGCATCCCACATGAAGTGGAGGAAGATGGGCATGGATGTTAGCTCAGGGCTGATATTCCTCACCAAAAAGAAAAAAATTCGGTTTGATATCCTTTGACTAGCTCTCGCCCTTATTGAAAAATCTTTTTCTGATGCACCTGAGGTGATGTGGCCGACACCTTAGTGACAAGCGTTCGTGTCTTTTAAAATGATTTACAAATAAAGAGGAGAGGCGCAAAAAAAAACATAGACTATCTTAGGAGTTAGTGAAACTCTACAGAGTAAATAATAAATCACATTTTTCAGGCCGGCCCCGTGGCTTAGCGGTTAAGTGCGCGTGCTCCGCTACTGGTGGCCCGGGTTCGGATCCCGGGCACACACCGACGCACGGCTTGTCTGGCCATGCTGAGGCTGCGTCCCACATACAGCAACTAGAAGGATGTGCAACTATGACATACAAGTATCTACTGGGGCTTTGGGGAAAAAAAAAGGAGGAGGATTGGCAATAGATGTTAGCTCAGAGCCGGTCTTCCTCAGCAAAAAGAGGAGGGTTAGCATGGATGTTAGCTCAGGGCTGATCTTCCTCACAAAAAAAAATAATAAATAAATAAATCAGACTTTTCTTGTATCAAAGCCTGTCCGTAGTTTTACATTAAGCTTCTTTAGAAACTGAATTAACTCTTTCAAGTCAAGTTTCTTAATAGACTATGGCGGAAACTTACTAAATTCTTTTAAAACAACTATCCTTTAGTGATGCAAGGGTCAGCTTAGCTTCCTACAAAGTGCAGCTCACAATTAAGAGTAGCTTGGATACAAAAAATCTGATGTTTCTCGTTTGCAGCCACCTTTAAACATGTTGTAGATTGGGTCTGAAAAGCAATTAGGAGGAAAGATGCATAGAGAATGAAGAGGGTCTCTGGGAAGATTGTGGTTGGATGGGGAAGAACAAAAAGAGGTGGACTTACCTGATGATACTGTTGTCAGGACTGAATGGTGAATTTTGTACTTGTAAACATGTTTGATTTTTAATTTGCAGTGCTTAGTGACCCCCAAACCAGGGCCATCTATGATATATATGGAAAGAGAGGACTGGAAATGGAAGGATGGGAGGTAAGAGAAGCTGTGCGTCTGGTACCCAGAAAAGTCATTAAACAACTACAAAACAACAACCCCCAAATCCCGCAACCTGTGATAATATCTTTGAGAATACTTGAAGACATTCAAGTCCCTCTTCACCTTGTATTTTGGTTTAAGAGATTGAGTGCTAGGCTTGGCTTTGCCGCTTTGTAACGCTGTGAACTTGGGCAAGTCAGTCATCCAAGTGAAAAGTAAGCGAGATAGACTGTACCAGTAATTTTTAACCCAAGAGAGGGGAGCAGGCCCATCAGGGGGTTGATGAAGACAGTTTGTGCGAGGATGCAGTTCTGTCTACACATACACTTCCTTCCGCCTCCACAGTTCTGTGCCTCTGTCTCCACCTGAGGTTATGAATAACTGCATTTAGGAAGTTGTTGATAATTTGTTGTACATGTGAACAAAATGGAGGCAGAGAGAAGTTGAGAACTACGGGATAAAACTGTCTATAATGACCCTTCCAGCTCTAATGTACTATAATATTAGAGTGTTATCAAATATAGTAAAACAAAATAGATAGAAAATATCCATAAAATAGGTTACCCTGGGCAGCTATACCATGTAAAAACAGTCACTAAAATTCTGAAGATTCTGTTTTCTTTTACTTTGCCACTGACTAGTCCTAGAGCTTTGGGCAAGTCATTTGACTGCTTTGTACTTCCATGTTATCTGAAAAATAAGGATACGAGGTTCAAGTAGAAATGTGAATATAAAAATTAGTTGTAAAACTCTAAATTGTTATAAGAACATATAGGTATTATTGCTTAATTTCATTAAAGAAACTTGGTTCTGATGCCCAAGAAATTTCGGTAGGCTGTTAACATTAAATTGATTGTCATTGATTTATTTTCTCATCAACGTATAAGATTTCCCTTGAAGTTCTTTTGGTATTTAATCTCAAACCTGTATGCCTGTCTCTTCTCATTCTAATATGAAAACCTTCTAAGGACCTTAGGGTAAGGAGTAGAAGAGAAGCAAAACAGTTCTAGTTCCCTTTCTACTACTGCTTAATATTGGTGACTTGTGGGCCATATTTAACATATAGCCATGTTTTGGTTGCCCACACAATGAATTGTAGTTGCTAACATTTAAAATTAAAATTTGGGGGATTTTGCATAAAAATCCAATCTTTTGTCTTCTATTGAAAAAAATCAGAAAATCTGGTACAGCTATATCTGAATTTTCCTGTGACGCAACGCTCAACTAAATCTGAGGAGCCTCAGCCCTTTAGACTGGCCTGTGCTGTCCAGTGTGTCACAGTCCTCAACACTCCCTGTTGTGTTACCTCTGGCCCTTCACTTCATCTGCATGTCTTGCCTGGCTGCAGTAGGCGTTTGGTTTCTGGCCTTTGGCTTGATGGAAGGAGCAGTGTTTCATGTTATGTTCGTTGTAGCAAAGTGTTAGATCTAATAGCTTAGCGTAGTTTCCTCCAAAAAGGAAAGTAGAATCCTGTTGTATTTACTAGATTTCTCCTCACACTTTATACAGTACGTTAAAGCTCCCTTGTTTCTTGAGGGCGTGGGTTGGTGACAATTTTTCATGGCAGCGGTCAAGGCCACTGAAAAGCTGTAGGCCTCTCCTACATACCCCCACTTCAGAGTGTAGGTTTTTAATTCCCAGCAGCATTGTCCCAACTCTAATGGAGCAGTGGGGTAATGTCTTCCTGGCAAAATATTGCTTGGTCTTCTATCGCCAAACCAAATTATCTGCCCATTAGAAACAAAGCAAAACCACACACACAGTAGTGATTATAAAAATATGTAGGTAGTCACAGATGGTGAATGGATAAGCTTTTATAGTCATAGTTTTTAGTAAACTACTCTAAGGAAATCAAATTCTCATTGATCAGAATTGGCTTTTTTTGCATTGATACTTAGCCTTCACTTAAGATAAAAATGCCTTCAAGGAAGACTACATGAAGATACCTCCCTAGATATTTACTCAGAGATGTATCAGTGCCTGACAAACAGTAGAAAAATTAAGCCTGTTATTCATACTGTAAAGCAAAAGTCTCACTGAACCCAAGAGCATTTTGTGGAGCTGGCATCATCATTCCTTCAAGGAATTCCTACAGCTGGTGGGTTGTTTAATTGAGGATTCTCCCACTTCCATCGTAGCTTTCACCCCCGGGAGGAAGGTGTATTCACTTCATGCTGTTGCTAGTATTTTTAGACTATTAAACTTTTGCTGACGGGTATCCGTTTACCACATATCTGTTAATCTAAACACGAGTAGTCAGGGCTGGCCCCGTGGCTTAGCGGTTAAGTGCGCGCGCTCCGCTGCTGGCGGCCCGGGTTCGGATCCCGGGCGCGCACCGACACACTGCTTCTCCAGCCATGCTGAGGCCACGTCCCACATACAGCAACTAGAAGGATGTGCAACTATGACATACAACTGTCTACTGGGGCTTGGGGGGGGTGGCGGGAAGGAGGAGGATTGGCAATAGATGTTAGCTCAGAGCCAGTCTTCCTCAACAAAAAGAAGAGGATTAACATGGATGTTAGCTCAGGGCTGATCTTCCTCACAAAAAAAAAAAAAAATACGAGTAGTCAATGAAGGATGAAGGACACTGTTGAAACTGTTAAGTGTCTGAGGCGCCTTTAATCCAAAGGTATGAAAACACTCTGCAGATGTAGCAGTCACTCCGTGTCCCAGCAGGTGGATCCCTCTTTCTGTTTGTGGGCACCGGAGGTGAAATGTGAGCTTTTTTAGATTGCATAAAATATTGGCCCTGTTTTCAGTCATTAGGTAAGTTTTCAGTCTTTTTTTTTAACCTTCAAGAGACTGTCATTCTCTAGCAGGATTCCAAAGGAATGAGATGCAGCCATTCCCAGCTTGTAAAACCAGCCATTTTAGTTCTTGAAGTTGGTTAGCAGGGTTTATGTGACTACCTACATTGAAAATGAAATTGATCTCTTCTTCATAATGGTGAAAATTCAACTTTGAACTGAGAATGCTGTAACAATCTTGAATCTGGTAACAGCTAGCAAGTGGAATGGAAACCATATAACTCAGATAGCACTTTCAGATGTTATATTGCATTTAGAGAAGCATCCTTTGGCCCAGATCATCCGAAGTTTATTTTTGTCTGCAATCCTTTACATTATTCATATTTCGCTTTTCCCTGTCTCTTTGACATCAGTCTTATAATGTCTAAGAAAGTCAGCCTGCATTAAGAGCTACAATACATGGGGCCAGCCCAGTGGTGTAGTGGTTAAGTTCACACGTTCCGCTTTGGGGGCCCAGGGTTCGTTGGTTCCTTGGCATGGACCTACTTACCACTCATCAAGCCGTGCTGAGGCAGCATGCCACACGGAAGAACTAGAAGGACCTACAACTAGGATATACAACTATGTGCTGGGGCTTTGGGGAGAAAAAAGAAAAAGAGGAAGATTGGCAACAGATGTTAGCACAGGGTCAATCTTCCTCAAAAAAAAAAAAAAGCTACAGTATGGTCAAGATCATGAAACGAAGAGTTAGAAACTGTCACAAGTTAGAGGAGACTAAGGAGACTAAATGCAATCCTGGATCCTAGATTGGATCCTGGAACATAAAAGTGGTGTTAGTGGAAAAACTAGAAATCCAAAAAGTCTGAGTTTAGTTAATAGTAATGTACTAATGTTGGTTTCTTAGATTTGACAGAGGTTCCATGGTTATATAAGATGTTAACATCAGGGGAAGCTGGGTGAAGGGTGTACAAGAACTTTCTGTACTGTCTTTGCAACTTTTCTCAAGTTCCAAATAATTTTCTAAAATTATTCCAAAATAAAATTTGACTAGCAAGAATCAGAATTTTCAAACCAGACAACACCTCAGGAATCAGGTAATTTAATTCCCCTCATTTATAGCAGGGAATTGAAGCTTAGAGAGGTGAAGTGACTTACCTGCAGTCTCCTAGAAAGTTAGAAGTGCTGTCAGAGAGCCTAGGTTCCTATCCTCTTTTCACTGTGCCACCTAGCTGTTAGAGATCTCTCTTCCCCTTTCCACAAGATCAGTCAGTCTTCCTGGCCAGCACAGGGATAGACCTAGTTGCTGAATGGTCAGGGTGAACAATACAGGTGTGTAGATTCATGGGCTGCATATGATTCACGCTGTTGATGAAAAACATTGAAAATGTCTCGTATTTACCAACCGTAATGCAGTTTAGGATGCTGTGTTCCTGGATGCTTGTATATAAGGGTTACTGAAATGGAAAAAAAATAGCTTGCAGCTGGCTTAGTCTTTTTCCATTCTCCATCATAATGTACTCTGTGTAAAGAGGGATATAAATAATAAAGGATGTCAGGGGCCTGTGGGAACTAGAAGGAGATGCCCTGCCCTGCTGAGTGCTTTACTGTTCTAGTGGGCCGGCCATTTTGGCTTTGCAGTTAGCTCTGATTATGCACCGACTATTTGCAAAACTTAGGTAAAATATGACTAGAAATGGAATGACTTAACACCTTTGGCATATTTGCCTCTTCAGCTTATCACATAGTGTGGCAGAGAGAAAGTAATTTGTAGCTATTAATTCAGTTAGCAAAGGTCAGACAGCTAGAATTCTTGAAAACAAGTTCTGTTCTGCTCTGGCCTCTGTGGAGCCTGACGCTTTCCAGTCTTTTAATTCCTGGAATCTTTCAGATCTGTTTATTTAAAAAATATCAGTATAGAGGCGTATTCATGGAGTCTATGTCACTGGTTAGTTATAGCTAATTAAACTTTTGTTTAATTTACTTTCTTAACCCTAGTGTCTTGTTGAATAGAATATTCAGTATGAAATCTTTTCACCCAGGTAGAACAGCCTGATTACTCTGGGCCCAGTGGAGGAAGTGCTTTCCTTTGTAATGAGTCGCTTAGGTCACCTTTGGCAGGGGTCTGAATAAGTTGTGGTTCCACAGTCACAGGTCCACTGAATTGGGGTTTAAGAGTCATGAACAATTTTTAAAGTATTTTAAATCATTTTTTTCTTGATCTTCAGGGTCAAGTGGAATAGTTGATTACCTACATTTCCCTGAAGCTCTTTTACTTTGATTTTCTTTTGATGAAAAGAGAGACTGACAGGAGATGGAGAAGATAATGGAAACTTTGACAAACTGTACCTCACTTTTGTTCAGTCTGAGATAGGGTAACTTTGGGGAAGTGAAAGTACCATAAAGAGGTGCACATGCCTTCAGTGTTTTGAAGAACTAGCAGAGTGAGCTTGCCATATCACTTAATTGTAACTGAGTATGTTTTTGTGAGGTCACAAAGCAATCACTCTCGTGCCATTTAGGACTTCCAGTTTGTTCTTGGATGATTTTAACAGTGTTTTTATTTTAAAACTTCCTTTAAAAGAACCGTCTCCTCCTTTTTAGTAATAATTGATTTGTATTGGATTATTAGAGGAGAAAATATTGTTTTCATTATTTTTTTCTGTTTAACTTACTGAAAGCAATAGTGAACAAATTTCTCATAGTTTTTTTGGATAGGCCAGTTTTTGTATTTATTTTTCTGTATTGCTAAATAAGAAAATCAAGTTGCACAAAAGCTATAATAGGACCTCCATTTATGTTAAAATGTATTTATACATGCATAATACATATGCATAGAAGATTTTTAGAAAGATATGTAAAAAGTTAAATGTTAGCGTGTGAGAAGAGGGAGAGTGGTATAGGGGAAATTGTATTTTTTACTTCCTATCCTTCTGTACTATTTTGATTTTTTCCTCAAGCATATATTTTTAATAATTTTTTAAAATTGTGATTTCTAAGATGGCTTCTTCTCACATCACCTACCTTTTAGATGTTCTTTGAGCAGTCTCTCAAGACTTCCCTGTATTTCTCCCACTCATAGAGGGAATATGCCGTTTGGGTTTTTTCCTCTCTCATCCATCTAATGACTTCAGATGTGTATGTCCCAGTTCCACTCTCTGTGTTTCTTACAGGCTATAGAATTTTGGGCCTGTAGAAGTCACGTGGTGCATTTCCTCTTTCACCGATGTACCTGAGGCCCACCGAGGCCTTTCCCTGCCTCTTTGAAATCTCAACTAGATTGTCTTCCTTTCACGATGAGCTAAAAAAGGCCAAGATGGAATGCCTTGTTTTCTAATAGATTTGACTGACATCATGTGCATCCCTGAGTGTTAACATGATCTGCTGTGTGGTACCTGAGTAATAACTGACATCACACCTTCTAAGCTTCGTATCATATTGTAGGGAGAGGAGTCCCATGATTCTAAAACCCAGACCTGATGGCTTAAGATCCCTTGGTCCAAGAAGCTCAAAAGGCATCTCCAGCAGTGGCCCCAGCACACTAGGGAGAGATGGTAGTAGTGTGGACAGCTTTGCCTTTGTTTTGATATTTAACATTGTTATCTGGAACTCATTAGGAAATTTAAACTATGAGACTTAAGATGACGTTTTCTTCGTAAGATTCCTGCAGCGTCAGAGAGAGGTTACTAAAATGAAGGAAATAATGCTTAAGTCTCTCTGGAGAGCTGAGGAAAAGCATGACCTTGGGAATGATCAGGGCAGCAGACCAAGCAGGTATGACAGGGAGCCTTGCCTCGCCTTGCGAGGGACTGGAGACGTCTCGTGGAAAACCTCATTGCCATTTCATTGACATCTCAGAGTCCTGGGGAAGAGGAAAGGCTGGCCCCTGGGCAACACGCACACACCACAGTGAAAGATGTCAGCTCTCTATGTTTGTGTTTTCCTCACTCTTTGGGTCCTAACTGTCTTGTCTTGATTCTACCCATAGGTTGTGGAAAGGAGGAGAACACCAGCTGAAATTAGAGAAGAGTTTGAACGGTTGCAGAGGGAGAGGGAAGAGAGACGACTGCAGCAGCGAACCAATCCCAAGGTAAGCCAGGGGCTGGTTTTAGTGAGGATTGTTGCTAGGCTTTATTACCAGAAGGCAGATCTAAAATAGTTCAGTGCTGGTGGTTTTTTAAAGTAATAACATACAAAGTTGGGTAGAAGAAAATTTTGTTTATTTTGTCTCAGAGTGGTATCTTCTGGAAAGCAACTCCATGGAAAGCAAAGCTTCTGCTGCTGACTCGCAGAGGAGTGTTCTGAACCATGTGGAAGGAAGACAAAACCAATCCCATGGTTCTTCCAGAAGCTAAGGAGACACCCCAACAGAAATACAGGCTAGCTCTCTGAGACCTTGTCCTCTAGTCATGCTGCCCAAGCCCTTGACATGTGACACTTAGAGGACAGTATCAGGGAAAGGACAGCCACCTCACCACACATTGAGGCAGCAGGATTTCTTCCCGCCAGTTAGGATATGGAGAGCCAGATAATACAGAAGGTTTGGAACATTTCCAAACTGTTTTAAGCAGGGGCCCATGCTTTCATCATCCCAGGACAACAGTGCCATGAACACCAGTCGCCAGGCTGTTTTGGCGGTGATGAGGTGACTGTCTTTAACTCAGTTGAGTCCCCGATGGAGTTTGAGTTGTGTAACCCAGTGCTGCGCCTGAGTTTGAGAGTTACTTTCCAGCCCTGCATGTGATATCTTTTTCCTTTGATCTGTTAGAGAAACAAATTATTCTGAGTGCTGCCTCAGCCCTGTGGCAAATAGGCTGTCTTGGTCAAATTGAGATGCCAGTTGTACTGAATGGCTAATTGAACGAGGCCCAGTGTTCCTGTTCAACTGTGTTAAGGAGACTCAGTGGCCAGACTCCATCACTGTGGCCAGAATGGCCTGGCAGGCAGTCTGAAAATCTTCTAAAGAAAAAGAACAGGGGCTGGCCTCGTGGCTTAGCGGTTAAGTGCTCACGCTCCGCTGCTGTCGGCCTGGGTTCAGATCCCAGGCACGCATCGACGCATCGCTTCTCCAGCCATGCTGAGGCCGTGTCCCACATACAGCAACTAGAAGGATGTGCAGCTGTGACATACAACTATCTACTGGGGCTTTGGGGGAAAAAAAATAAATAAAATCTTTAAAAAAAAAAAAAAAGAAAGAAAAAGAACAAATGCTAGCTTACAACTAGGCAGCATGATAATATGAACTTCTGATCAAATACCTTCCAGAAAATGGATTTTTTAGAGACCCCTACAGCATTTAATGGACTATATATTCAGAAAACTCCCATCTATTTGAATCCTACATTTCGAAGTATATTTGTAAACGCCAACACCTCTTCTTTCCACCCACCCTCCCCTTCAGCAGATGATGGCTTCAGTAGTACAGAGTTATCTTTTGGTCAGATGGAGGTAGAGAATTGAAATACTGGCTGAACTGATGCAGGGAGTGTGTGAGATAATTGGGAGAGTTGATAGTCTCTGAGGTGCCTTGAACTGTGCTAGTGGATTCCCTTCTTGAATCTCCCAGCCAGTGCTCAGGGCCAGTACACTGTGAGGAGGTCTGGTTTGAAAGATTAGTGCTGGCACATGGAGGTGAGGGTCGAGGAGATGGGGTGGTAGGTAGGTAGGTAGGTAGGTAGCCTGGTAGGAGCAGGCTTTGCTTTGGTATCTTTGCTGTTCTGGCTGGAGTTTTGCTGTATTCAGAGCAGTGAAGGGGAAAGAGAACATCACAGTAGCCTGAGCCTCTGTGTCCTATGATAAAATTGGCCATCTGGGCATGTACAGTGATTGCTTATTGGGATTCTATGGAAATGTGTCTCCGGGCCATGTTTCTGTTGAATGAGGGAGCACAGCTGTGACCATTTCACACAAGCATGCAAGTTACTGTAAAATTCCCAATACTTTGCTACTTCCATAAACTGCTTCCAAATAAATAAGACATTTTCTACCCAGAAATACTGAGTGATAACCAGATGTTGGCTATGTAGCATTTTGAGGAGAGATTTTGAGCTGGATCTTTCATTCCATTTCCGAATGTTTTGCTTTTCAAGATAAGCAGAAATGTTTGGAACGTTCTTATCCTAAGAAGAAAGAGGTGATCTCCTCTTTAAGACCACAGAGAGAAGGACACTTTTGACAATCATTGGGCTCAGCACTGGCCTGTCACCCTGACTCCCACAAAGGATCACAGCTTTTAGGGGATTGGCAAACTAGATAACATTGTGATACTGCCATCTGAAACTTGGCTGGATAATTCTCTCCATTTTCATCAATAAGAGTTTGTTGGGTAGGGATTTTCTGGTCGGATGTATGTACCAAGAACAGGCAAAAAGTTCAAGTGGGGAAGCTCGTAGGTTAGAAATACTGACTCTGACCCAGTGATGCACGACAGAGCAAACCATTGGACCTATGTCTAGTTTTCTCATTTGTAAAATGAGGACATCTCTCCTAACTACCACACCAAGTTGTTAAATGATTAAAAAAATAGGAAGTAGATGTTAATTTATTAGAGAAAGACAAGCCTGCTAAATAAATGCAAAGTGGTACTAGTACTAAGGTGAGGTTAAGAACTAAATTTTGTTTTGGTATTTCATTTGGCACTGCGTGGGAAATACTTGGCTTGGTCAGTGGGGGCTGGGTTTGGGTGGGGTCTATCAATTAGGATTTGAAAATGGCCCTCTGACAACACCATCAGCCTTCTCCTGCGGTTCCAATGCTGTTCCAGTGTGGACAGCCACCTGTGAGTCATGGTTTGTGTGAACTGAGCTTTGGAAAGCACTGTGGGATGCAGAAGGAATGAGTGGAATCCCCAGCTCCAGTGTGTGTTCAGCCAATGGAATGCATGTGTGCACGCACACATACGCACATACGCAGGAGGCAGCGTGGTAGACCTTTCCACTTGGAGTCAAGAGTCCTGAATCAGGATTCGGATTCCACCCTCCAGTTCTGTGCCATGGGTCAGGTCACTCCTCCAGCCTTCGCTCAGTTTCTTCCTGTGTGAAATGGGAGGTTTACCACGAGGCCCACTGCTTGGGGTCGAAAGACCCCAAGTCCCCAAAGTTCTTAGTTTAATTGCCTCTGTTTTCTGTCTTTGCTGTGTGGGAGTAAATTCCTGTGTATTTCTTGCTAGAAAACACCAAGCTCAGGTTGCTGGAGTCCTAGGGTCTCCAGGGCCCTCCACATTGAGCCAGTGTAGGGGAAGGAATTTATGGCTGGACAGATGATGAGGTTCATCCACATCCAAGTGTGTGACTGGAATCTAACTGGACCACTCTGGCCATCTTCCCTTTGTCTTTAAGATCTCTTTTGTTTGCGTAATCCATCTACATTTCTTGCCTTTTAGAGACTAAGATCATATATAATAGCGTTGTTCTACGCTGTGTTCACTTCATATTGATTATTTTAATTCCTTTCTTTTGTTAATACCCATAAATCTTGTCTCTCTCTGGACCGCAGCCACTTTGAGAGTCTGAAGATGACGAGATCTCAGACAGCATCACTGGACTTTATTACTGCCTTCTTAATGAACTTGTTCAGATCCCACGTGAAGCACAGTGTTAAGTTGAGGATTGTTTGAGGGGCTTGCTTGTCTCTGAGGTATCCACTGCCTTCTTTTTTGACCTTGTTATGTAACAGTTCATGGAGATTGTTACATTATTTCCTGGACTGTTCTGTTCTCCTTTCAGTGTTACAGAGGTTGACATAAACTACCTGGGGAGACCTCCTTTCTGATTTTAGAGAGGCCAACTTGTCTGTGTGGTTCCTGTAATAGCTTAAAAACACGATTCAGCTTTATCAGAAAAAAAAATTTTAATAATGTATCAATGAAGACATACAACCAATAAAATATTTATAAATCCCAAAATGTTTTCATCAAGATGTATGAGTACATTACTCAATTACTTTTAAAGGATTTTTTAAAAGATTTGTTTTGGTTGCCATGGCTAATGATTATAGCCATCGGAATGAGCCTGTGGTTATGACTTCAGTCTGTTCTGTGGAAATGATTCTGATGTCATAAACTGACTCGACTGGGCTGGAGTCAGTTTAATTGTGCGGAGAAAAGCTATTGGAACCCGTGTATTTGTTGTGCTCAGTGTCAGGAAGGGGCGATTTAGCGTATGCAGAAATGGGCTGCTATTGAATTTGAAGAAATGGGGAAGTTGTATAAGGAGAAGGGATCAAGTCTGGGAAAGTGCTGTTTATAAAGCGGAGTCTTTGGAGAAGAGAAGAGGTGGCTGACTGTAGAAGGCAGAGAGAAAGCTGTTTAAGTGGGTACTAGTTGGAGGACTGTTCCACGCCATCCCTTCAGAATAATTACTTATAAATAAGATGTCAAAATTAAAGACTAGTGTTTATACAGGAGGAGATGTGGGGTGGGGGGAGGAATTGTTGCTAGAAACCCTGGTAAGTTTGATCCTCCATAACATTGGAGAATACAGGTTTCAGCTTGATCTCAGATAGAGTCTGTGGAGACTGTCTCACAAGAGCCACCATGGGCTCACCAGCGATAAAACAGGCAGATTTCACATTACCTCGTAATGTAATTGCCTCTTTTGGTGGAATTTTAAATTAGTAAGTTGTTACTATTGAGATTACAGATGACAGAAATTTCTCACATTATCCTTATAGCCAGATAAAAAAATATAATCATGAAAATAATTCAGAATGGAACATTCCTGGCTGAATGAACAACTGATTCTACTCAAAGATGGTTGATTAATGAATCATTTCCAACCTGATGAGAAGCTTCTCATCATGGGAGAAAGGGTTAACTAACTTAGAATTGTTATGAGTGATGTCAATGAAAATGTGTTTGTCACATTCACAGGTGTCCCAAGGCAGAAGGACAAAACCAAGATTCTGAAAGATCTCAGTGAAGTAGAATGGAAGGGATAAACGTGCTAGCTAAGAGAAGGGGAGACAGAAAAAATGGTGGTCATTAATTGACTCACTGGCTTAATATTAGCATATTTTATATAATTTAGCATATTTTGTTAGTTGGAGGTGGGTGTGGTAAAGATGATTCATTTATTCACAAAGTGATTTAAATTTGGTGTCTATAAGGAGCCAGGTACTGTTCCAGATGTGGACACGCAGCAGAGAATAATATGAACGAGACTCTGCCTTTTCATGAAGCTTAGCATTCTAGTTGAGAGAGCCAGATAATATGAAATAAACACATACATAAATTATATAATATATTAGAAGATGATAATGCTGTGTCAGGAAAGTAGATTCAGGGTAAGGTGAGAGGGCTGCAATTTTAAATAGGGTGGTCAGGCCTCACTGAGAAAGTGACACTGGGCCGGCGCCGTGGCTTAACGGTTAAGTGCACGCGCTCCGCTGCTGGCGGCCCGGGTTCGCGGCCCGGGCGCACACCGACGCACTGCTTCTCCGGCCATGCTGAGGCTGCGTCCCACATACAGCAACTAGAAGGATGTGCAACTATGACATACAACTATCTCCTGGGGCTTTGGGGGGAAAAAATAAATAAATAAATAAAATTATTTTTAAAAAAAAGAAAAGAAAGTGACATTGGAACAAAGATGAGAACGAGAGAAGAGTTATCCATGTGGATATCCGGGGAGGAGCCTTCCAGATGGAAGGAAGAGCCAGTGCAAAGGGGAAGTAGGTCTGGTAGGTTCAAGGAATAGGAGAGGCCAGTGTGTCTGGAACAGTGATGAAGGAAATTAGTAGGAGTTGAGGTCAAAGAGGTACATCTTCCATTTCCCTAATAAGAAGCAGCGACTGATCTTAATTTGTGACTGTTCAAGAGAACAGAACTAACAGCAGGAGGATGGTTTTGGCTTGGTATAAAAAACACTGAACAAGGTGGGCTGCTGAGGATTAATGGAAACTGCGCTTTTAATCACTATCTCATCTTGAACACGATGTGGCAAGGACCTACATCTTCCAAGAGGCAGCAGAAGTGGAGTGGGGAGTATCATTGAGATAAAAATAAGTTTTTCAGGGGCTGGCCCCGTGGCGTAGCGATTAAGTGTGCGTGCTCCGCTGCTGGCGGCCCAGGTTCGGATCCCGGGCACACACCAAGGCACCGCTTGTCAGGCCATGCTGTGGCGGCGTCCCATATAAAGTGGAGGAAGATAGGCACAGATGTTAGCCCAGGGCCAGTCTTCCTCAGCAAAAACCAGAAGATTGGCATGGATGTTAGCTCAGGGCTGATCTTCCTCACAAAAAAAATAATAATAATAAGTTTTCCAGGCTGTTCACAGAGCCAGTCCGTGAGTGGGTTCTGGGCCATCATATAATGCTCCTGTCTGGGCTGGAGTACCTTTGGATCAGGAATAGGTGGGCCTTCGATGATGTCTAGTGGCTGCCGAGAAGAGGCTGGGCCCCGTCTCTCCTACTCCAGGCCATGCCTGTGAGTAATGGTGTCATTTGGTTATGTTGGATCCTCCTGATCATCTGATACTTATGGGCACAAGAAGTCTACTAATTTTTAAATATGCATGTAAGACCTTTTTGAGATATTAATAGTTTTTAAGCAGCCTCTATTTTTGAAGTCTAAGGTGTGTGAACATCATAGAGTGTACTTACACAAGCCTAGATGACATATATAGCCTACTACACACCTAGGCTAATGGTACTAATCTTATGGGACCATTGTCATATCTGCTGTCCGTCATTGACAGAAACATCATTATGCAGCGCATGACTGTATGTGTAAATAATTTAGAAAGGCATAGAGTTACTAGACTTAGTTAAAAAAACAGTCACCCTTCCCACCCCTCCTTTCGACTCCTGACACCTGTTCCCTGGAGGCGGCCACTCCCACCTCTCTGAGCTCTTTCTTCTGAAATTTCTAAGTTGCATATTTACATTGTTCTTTCTTTGTTTTTTCAGTTTTAGTAATTATCTATTGACCTCCTGCCAGGAAAGATAAGGATATAGTTCCCCAGCATGGTATATGTTTTTCATTCCACCCGAGGTAGTTATAATAACCATTTTGGGTTAAATTAATATTCACTGTATAAATGCTCAGCTGAGCCAGATAGTATTCCATGATTACCTGACCTTTCTTTTTTGTGTGTGTGAGGAAGATTAGCCTTGAGCTAACATCTATTGCCAATCCCCCGCTTTTTGCTGAGGAAGATTAGCCCTGAGCTAACATCCATGCCCATCTTCCTCTACTTTATATGGGACGCCGCCATAGCATGGCTTGATAAGCGGTGCGTAGGTCCACACCCAGGATCCAAACCTGCAAACCCCCGCCACTAAAGCAGAGTGCGGGGACTTAACCACTACACCACTGGGCCGGCCCCTACCTGACCTTTCTTAATATGCTTTTTCCTCTGTGGTGTTAGTAATTGTCTCATTTGGTTCCTTTTGATTAGTTTTCTATAAATCTGTCACTAATTTGTTTCCAAACTCTGTCAGAACTGAAACTTTCCTCAGTTTCATCAGACACTGTAGGCCTAGAAATTCCTAGGAAGGTGCAGGGTAGGGCTTTGGTCCTTGAGCTCTAGAGATAGATTCCCTGGGTTCAAATCCTGTCTCTGCCACTTACCTTAGGACCTTGAGCAAGATCCCACCTCTCTGTTCCTCACTTTCTTGTGTGTGTGAGGAGATTGGCCCTGAGCTAACATCTATTGCCAATCTTCCTCTTTTTTTTTTTTTTTTT